AGAGGGTAAAAAGAAGAAAGAGTAAAAAAGAAATGAGCATCAAAGAAAGATTTAATTAACTCAACTCAAATTCATCCAGCATCAATGATTGTAACTTAACAACAAACAAAACGATTTATACATATACATACATACATACAAATACATACATATATACATATACAATGTGTGCAAACATATATATGTATATGAATTGTATGTATTATGTATACAAACCTGTATCTTTTTGTATTTGCGTATAACGGATATTAATCACGAACAAGGAAAATTAAAAGAATAAACACACGCACACATACAATACAATACAATACAATACAATACAATACAATAAGATACAATACAATGCAATACAGTACAATACAATACTATCCAATACAATACAAACAATACAAATTAACATACATACGTACATACTTTTTTCCAGCCACTATTTTACAGCCAGTAAAGGTGAAGAAAAAATTTAACTTGCTAATCTTGTTATGATAAAGAAAAGTTCGAAGAGATAACATGAAAAAAGACATAGAGAGAGAGAGAGGGAGAGAGAAAGAGAGAGAGAGAGAGAGAGAGAGAGAGAGAGACAAAAAAGATGAATAATACAATATATATATAAATACATGTATAAAACGTGAAGATTCAATCATCTCAGATACGTTGTATGTACTTGCTTCGTTATGAGCCCGTGAAATGCGATACCATTAAAAATCATAACAAATACTTACATCTATTTATTTTATTTGATTATTATTTTTACAACTTACATACAAACGAACGTACGAAACGAAACGAAACGAAACGAATTTTTATTTGCTTCTCAAAATTAATCTAAAAAAAGAGAAAAAAAAAGAATTCTCTCCCCTTTATATCAATAGGAAGAAGACAGGATGACCACAGTAGAGTTCTTTTCAGAAACTCATCGAGTGTGACCACCTTGACATAATTTTTAAAATGTTATAAATTTTCAACAGAATTTAAACGTAATTTCAGAAACAAAAAGTTTATGTTTTAAACTTAAGTAAATATTCTTTTAACTTTTTTTTAAAATTGTTTAACGAAATAAATTCAAAATTAAATCCACTGTTTAAAATTTCGTTCCAGATTCTCGGTCCCTTGCAATACACGTGAGAAAACAAAATATTCGTTTTCGATTTGTTAGAGACAAGATTATTTTGTTGCCGACATTGTTGTTTCATCTTGAAATAACTGTTAAATAAATCAGGTAATCGATTGGTTAACTGTTTATAAACAAAAATCATCAGAAAGTAAATGCTGAGTTTCGAGAAATTCAAGTTTCGCGTGCTGTGAACAATGG